TTTTTTTTTAAATCTAACTTCATAAAGTTCTTTAAAAATATTTTGTAAATGAGGCCATAAGAGCTTAGGGGGAGAGTTACAACACAAAAATACATTTAAGGCGCAGCGAAGCACGCCGGGTAATTGCTAGTATTATATAAACATTAGAAAACATTAAAACATTTGAAATAAATCTCGTCTCACTTTTTTGTATTTTTCACTTGGTTGCTGAAGTAATGAAGACTAAAAAATTGATAAGGGAAAATTGTAGTTTTTGTAAGTTTTATGTTAATATCTTAAAAACTTGTAGACTTATTGAAAAATGATAAATGAACGTGAGGTACCAAATTTAATGACCCTTAATTTGATATATCGTCTTGTTCACAATAATTAACGCATTCCATGGATATTAGAAGCATTACAATGATACTTTGCATTGTCAAAATTCATACATTTTGATTCAATAGCGCGGGTTAAACATAAGTTTTCAATTAATCTTTCGTGGCCAATAACAATTGGCTTAGACCTAAGACATCATAATATTACTATTGCAAAGCGGTCAAATGCCTTTTATTTTCCCCATACAAAATCGACCCAGCCTAATGTATATGGTATCAAAATGGCACTTAGCTGCTACTTGGCGCAATAGATTTTCCGCCACCATTCTAGCCTAACCTAACGTGATAACTACTTCGAAGCTAAAAAACACATTAGAAGGAAATATAGAGCTCTGCAAGAATAATGATATGTCGTTTTTATAAATCGGATGTCAAAAAACAAAGTTATAATAAAAACCATTTAGGCGGTTTTTATAAGGATAACAAACACTATTTTTTAAGCTTCAAATACAGGGGTGGACTTTTACAAATATTTTGTTTCACCTAGTCTAATGTATATATGTATGTAGATATACAAATTCATATAGAAAATTCCATGTCAACCGAAATATGATTCCGATCTAAAATAGCTTCAAATTTTTTCATAAATATTTATGTTTTTCTTAAACCAATTTTTTTTCTTTTTCGAACTATTTGTACCAAATATTGACAAAAACGTAACTTTTGTTTCATTATTCCACATCCTCTTTTCATAGGTACATTTACAGGTCTATTCTGCGCAGGTAACATAAATTTTATAACCGGTAATTAAAGTGTCTGTCAATTTGTAAACCTTTTTCTCATTCTGTGCTCTCGTAACCGGTAAATTTGGTTACCATCTCATAAGCTGGTAACAAAATATTGCCCCGTGAAATATGCAATACAGGAATTTCCACAAATCTTCATAGCTGAATTGTTGAATATTTTCACTGCATTACCAACGTACGTAGAATCGCGGTGACAAGAAGTGGTAACATTTTTTGGTAATAAAATTTTCCGGTCACAAAATCTTCGGTAACGTGCAGAATAGACCTGTTAATAAAAAAGTTATATGCCTAATGTACATATGCACATACATATGTATGGAGATGCATTTCAATTTATGCAATTTAGATATGTAGGTACATATGTACATACATGCATCTGAATATATCAAATAATATTGATGCTTGCCTACGAATATGTAATACGTAAATATATTCCTTGCATCATTATTTCGAATTCTGTCTAAATTGTGACTCTAAATTCACTTATGCAAATGAAAACTCACTACCCGAATGCTGCTGAACTGTTAAATCACAGTAGAGGGTACAAATTGGCATTAATTTAAACATGGGCACAACTCAGTATCCACTATTTTTATAAAATAAAAATAAGTTTTTTTTTGAACAATCATATGCATCCATGCAAAGTCTTATGGCCCGTGAAATGCCATAACACAGTCGAGAGTATTCAAATTCTAGTTTTTAAATTCTGCTGTTTTATTTTTGTAGAAAACAAAAATTTTACAAGTTATAAAAACAATAATTTTGAGATCTGCCCTTTTATAGATAATGGTGATATGTAAAGAAATATTTATGTACGTGCATTTACAGAATGAAGGGGATCATAGTTAAATCAATGCCTTAACAAAGAGGGAAAAATTATATCAGTCAGTAAAAGGTCATGAATTCAGATAAGCCCACAAAAGCCAAAAAGTTACTTAAAAATAATATGCTGCGCTTAAAACCGAACGTATGCAGTGGCCGATCATGATGTTTGAGATCGAGTTGCTGCACTAGTATAAACTGTCACTTTTACAATTATGTGGGGTAGGTAGTTGCTGGTTGTCATAGAATGATTAAACTAGAATGTTATAAAAGCGCATCGCAGTCATTTTTTTAAACTTCTCCTTTGGTAACAACTCTGGTGGCAACAACTCACATCTGCAGATAACCCAATTCGATTGCGACTAATCCTTCCGTAAGAGAAAAACACTCTTGTGTAAAATTTTTTAATACCTTGAATTGAAAAGCAGTATCTATAAGGAAATTAAATGAACAAAATAAATAAACTAATACTGAATGAATAAGTACAAAAATAACAAAGCAAGATGGAATTAAATGTGTAATAGTGGTTGAAGGCGTAAAATGTAAGTAACGTAAAACAAATTTTATATTTCGAAGAAGCAAGTGTAAATGCTTTTTTAATGGAAATGTGTCTCCAGAATTAAAAGGTATTTACTAAAGCACATTGTGCCAAAATTATTGTTTAAAAAGCTAAAAAAAGCACGTAATAAGTAGAAAATAATGTGTAACATTATTAACAGTTCTATTACCGATATCATTTTCAAAAGGCCTGTAGTGCTTTGTACTATGTTCTTATACAAAATCTACTTTTAAAGAAAGGTATTAAAGGCTTTTCAATAATTAGTACACCCTACTTCTGTTTTTCTTTATTGGCGCTGTAACCGTCTAATCGATTTTGGCCAACTGACGCAAATTAAAAACGACAAGTGAAGCGAAGTCCTTGTCCATTTTGTGTTTCCACCGCAGAGGAGGCCTCCCTCTTCCTTTTGATCACCCTACGCTTCTTTTTAATGATATAAACTTTTGTGATAATCTCTTTACATTTATTTAAACAATTATCTATTAGCTTTTTAAAGAATTATATCTAATTAAAAATAAACTTCGAGCACCTCATGCTTTTTGAAGATATAGCATATATATATATGTATGTATATGGGCCATTTCCAAATAAAGTGTAGGTACATGGCAGGTATTTTTTATATTTTGTTAAGATTGATAAATTTATCCACTGAAATGGTTTAGTGACGTGAAAATTTGTGCAATATACGAAACTGCTTTCAGGCTCTTCAAAAATTATTATTTTTTCTTATTTTTGCATTTTTGTAAAATATTTTCCAGAATGTAACACTTTTAAGAGTAAGCTAAAGGAATAAATGCATGCTTTTTTAACATTTGCATCCCACTTAAAAACTCATTTATCAGAAAAAACTATTGTTGAAGTTTTTTCCACCTTCTTCATAACATTAACGTGGGGCCTTTTTTGCGAGACAGGTTTTTTGTTTAATCTCTCATCAGCAACAACTTCCCATATGTGGCATTTTTGAGAAATATGCTATTTAAAAATAATAAATCATTTTTCACCTAAAAGTGATATTCTGCAAATATTTCACTTTTTTTGTTCTAAGAGTCTTATTTCATCAAAATATAAAAACAAGGAAATCATTGAAACTCTTAAAGCAATAAACAGACATTGGTAATTATCTTATTTTTAGTGTTTTTTGCATAAAAAACTGGGTGATACATTTTCTTAAAAACACAAAATAATTCTTTTAATTAAGTTATTTCTTATGTCATTCGATCAACGCTTCTTAACCGCAATGCACTTAGGCAAGCAAAACAACTAATGTTAATATCTCGGAAAAATTAAAAA